TCTTCACGGCACACTTTCGACAACTTGCAAGATGTCGGTTGCGAGAGGCAGCAGACCTCGAACGGAAGTTGGCACAAGGCAGGCTCACGAACCATCACACAAACGCTGTTCAGCAGCCGCCCCCTGGTGCTCTTCAGCTGGATCGCAGGCCACGACGGGTTCGACTCTCTCATCACAACCTCCAAAGACTCGAGGTCCTCTGTCTTGAAGTTGCCACTGTCGGCTACATAACCAGCGCGAAGTAGCAAGGTGCATGGACAACTTCTCACTCATCCCCGTCTGGAAGGACCAAGGTCTTTTGCCCGCAAAGTTCTGCAAGCGGAATGGCTCCGCACACATAATACGCATATATGCGCGTATCTGCTGGACTCGAGCACAGGCCGACGAAGCCTTCAGAAAGGTGGAGAAGTCCAGGCCGGCAACATCAACGTGGCATCTAGTTCCAAAGCATAACAGTTAGTTGTCACAGAATCAGCAAGACGGCAGGTCAACCGGCAACATGCCGCTAGATCACTCCGGAGCCAAGGTTGGGTTTGCCGTTCGTCCAAACAAAACTCGCAACTCCTTCGTCTTGCACGTCTAAAGCGCTTAAAGTGACGCGGGCTTAGCTGTGCCTCCTGCGCATGACGCGAGGACGGCCGTCAAGAGCTCATGATCGCCATGCGAGCCCTCTTTGAAGCTTACGTGGCTCCGGCTGCAGAAGTATAATCGGCCTTAGTCCAACGAATGTTTTTTGCACTCCTCGTGTCTCTGAGGACAAAGATCGCAGCGGCTCCGTCAACTTGGACGACTTCGTCGAGACACAGGCGCGGAAGGTCACGGGGTGAGCTCTGAGCAGCCTTGCAGGGCAACTTCCCGGAGTTCTTGGGATATGATTTGCTACCAATGGAGTGAAGAGTTCCAGTATCTCCAACTGAGTCGAGTATCCGGAGGTAGGGTTTTTTTGGATTCAGTGGTTCAATAATATGTGGCTGTCCAAGCTGTATCGCCAGGCGGAGGTGCTCTCCGGAAACGAAGGTGCGACGTCCCAACCTTGCCTGTGCGTTGGGTGCGGCCTGTCTCACAACAGCGGGTGGCAACAGTTTGGGGAGTAGATCCTCAGAAGCAGTTTGCTTCTCAACAGAAACCGGTGGTGGCATTCTCAGTGGAGGTGGCCTGCAATTGCCTCTCCAAGACCTGGTGGCACAGTACCTCGAGGCCAACCCATGAAGTAGCGTTTGCGGAATGATGCTGACATGTTATGTGCATTTGGATTGGCGGAATGTGCAGCTGCCGACGAGTAGCGGAACCACTGACTATCCAAGATGTACAAAACTTCAAGGTACGACGCCCTGGCCAAGTTGGTTTGGATGGGGCGGGCCTGGACTTCGAGGCTTTTGGCAGTCTTGCGGATTCAACTCGAAAACCACAAGAGTAGTCATTCAGGGATTACGTTCGCACCGCTTGGGGTCAATCTTCGAGTCGAGTGTGCCGCAGACCAGACAGCCAGCGTCGAACGGCTTTAGGCCCTTCAGGCGGCTTGAGGCCTTTGGCTAGTGGCTAGGATCCAAGCATGTTCGGGACTTTTTTGTGAGGTCAGCACCGGCACCGTGCAGAAGTGATAGTAGGGTAAAATGCCTTAGTTGGCGTGGGATCCTGTAGTGATGCGTTCAGATGCATACTGACATTGACCTGATCGAACTGTGGCAAGTTGTGTGTTTCTGGCTCAGGGCTTCGTAATGTGGCAGCTCCATTGGCAGCTGCCGTTGTGGGTCGACAGCTCAGATCTAAGGTTGAAACCATGGGCCTCAAGTACGGGCCCTTAACCCTGATACCCTAAAAACCTACTATATACCCTATATGTACCCTTAAGGGACCCTAGAACCCCCCTTACGGCCCATATTAGGGGCCCATACTTCTAACCTTGGATCAGAGAGTCAGGGACGATGTAGAGCTCTGCTCTGCCGCTTCAAGCCGACAAGACAGAGAGCCCCCAAGCCCTAACCCTATGCAAGCCCTACCTCTATCCAAAGAACCTATCCTTTGAAGGCTCCTTATTATGATTTCCTTGTGGAAGTCCTTAAACCGGTAGGTTGTTCAGCGTTCAGGAAGACACCAACACCGTGAACCCCATAATAAAACGTCAGACCCTGCACCCATAATCCGAAACCCTTCAGCAAAAGCCGTTGAACGTGAACCTCAAGCGTGAATCCTGTACAGTACCCTAGCAAAGTGCTGAACATCCCTGGACCAAGATTCCCTACATCCCTCTACATCCCCTGGAGCCCTGGAACCTCAAATCGTAAACCCGACAAAACATGATATCCCCCCTCAATTATGGCATCCGCTGTCTGGTGCCCAACCGATATACAACATGAGCGCTTGTCAAGGCCAACGGCACTGAGAAAGAGGTTGCCGAGCACTGTATGAGAATGAGGGAGCATCTGACACTAACAAGGCGATCGCCTCAGCCAGCTGCAGACCAGTAGCTGCTTGTAGAAACAGTTCAATTGCAGCTTGTAGATGGCCTGCAGGCCCAATACATCAGTACGGTCGGCAGGGCTGTCCGATGCTCAGCAATGAGCGTTGGTGCTGACGAATTCCACTTAGCAGCACGTCCTGATGCGCTAAGCGCTTGAGGCCTCGAATGCCTTTCACAAGCAGGTCGCAAGTGATGCCGACTGCTATAAGCGTTTGCGTTATGTCCAGCAATCCTGCAACCTGCCAAGCCAGTCACAAAGAAGTGTGCAGAGCTTGCCTTCCCCTGAAATGATCCCACCTTCTCTGCATGGAGTACAAGCAGGTCGCGGATTAGCTCCGCTCGGCGATGGCCACCTGGCAAGGTTCAGGTGCCATGCTGCTCCAAAGAATCGAGTCATCGCTCGCTTTTGCACTTGGCGGCGTAGGCTTGTGCGGTTGATCTTCGGGAGACCAGCCGTCCAAAATCTGCGCGCGTACGACGCTACGGCTCGCATCTCAGATTCGGACGGGCTGGAGCAAAGCTCGGAACACAGAGCCATCAGGGAAGAGATGATGTCACTGGTCAATGCCCGGAGTTACAGAAGGGGGCATCAGCTGCGGAGGTAATGCAAGCAGGCTGACGTTCTGCATGCAGTAGATTTGAGAAGTGGAGGTGGATACGCCACGGCTACCAAGGGCTTCTGTGAGCCGCCAGAGGAGGCCGACGAAATCTGAGCATTGCAGAGATTTCGTATGTCTGGTTGATAGGTGTTCCATGACATTTCGGCCTTTGAGAGCGTGCAGAATCTCAAGGAGGACGGCCGCCAGATTCAAAAGCAGCTGATTTCTCGGTCTACAAGCTGCCGTAGCACGCTCAATGCTCCATCACAGCAGGCAGTTGGTTTCTCATAGACTATGCCCGCTTGTATCACGAGACCCTGACACTTCGAGGAGGACTCACACGATGTGGGACGATCCCAGAGCAGGCTAGCAGAAACAGCTGTCGCAGAGGAGGACTTCACCTAGGAATGCTTTGCACTGTGCTCAGATCGGTTGTGTGTCATTGCTATGGGGGAATCGGAATCGCAATCGAGGAATAGGAAACTGGAGTTCTCTTGGGGTCTCTGGTCACATTCTCAAACAAGGACGGAGGCTTGCGGCTTGCTTGCCAGCTGTTCGCATCGTGAGTTTCGTATGGAGCAATGCCACATTCTGCAGGACTCCCCCAATCGATCGGACCGTGACCCGTGTGGTGCAACGCCTATGGAACATGCGTTTGACAATTGATGAGGCTGGCCTTCGTAGTGGAGTATGGTCACTGCCGCTACCAGCATGCCTGCAGCTGGTGTCGGCGTGATCGTTCGGAAGTGGAACAGCATTCCTAGCAGTGACACATGTGCCAGCGGCAGACTCGTTTTATTAAGAGCAGTTGAAAGATCACATGTGGTGCTGACACGAACATGAGTTGCCATTGAACAGTTGCTGATTATTTCTTTCCAGATACTCACGGAGGCCTGTTCGGCCTCCCGGAAGAGACTTGCTGACACAGGCTGCCCCATCGTGATGCTGCGATGTGCCTGGCTTGAAGGAGAACATGATTTGCTGCTCGCCAAACAAGTCTTGCGTAAGTTGAGATCATTCCCAGAGACACTCTACTCCAGATGATGGCTGAACGGTACAGCCGCAAGGAGGTACATAAAGCACTGACAGTCCAGCCTGTGCAACTCTTCACAGCAATTCCATGCAGGAGCCTTCGGCAGCCGCCACACGCAGTCCGTGCTGGCAACCTACCCCTACTCGGACGTGAGACTGCGAATTGTGCAGTCACGTGCAGTCAGCCCACGCCCCCAGGGCCCCAGCCTGCGAAGCAGCTGACAGGGTCGAAATTGGGTCAGCGCTGGGCCCGGTTGGACGTCACGTCAGTAGAGTCCTAGAGTGGCAACTGCAAGCTCTGCAAGCTGCGACGGACGAAAACGGTTGAGGGCGGCATGTTGATCAAGCAAGTGGCCTCCCAGAGAGAAAGAGGGTTACACTCACGCGCGAGCAACGAAAAGGTGTGTCTGGTGGTCTGGTGTGGGTAGACACGACGACAGGAGCATTCAGGATCTCAGGCTCACATTCTTCTCAAGTTGAAGGACAGCAAGATCGAGTAGCGAGTGCTCAGAGCTGACCCTCTACTCGATACTCAACAGTGACAGAAGCCGACATGGAAGCCGGAGAGTGACAATATTCAAATCTCAGCTGCTCGCATGTTGGCATGCCTGTCAAGACGGAATGCTGTGCAAAGACACGCTCATCTTCTTCCAGGCCATTATCTTTGCACCCTCAGAAGTTAGGTTGAGAGGTCAGCTTGTCCTTGTCAAGGTTAACTGTCGACTGAACATCGCGAAGCCGAGTCGCTCCAGGCCGGTCTACGGTCGAATAATCAGCTGTGTTTGATACTTCTGGAGAAATACCTGAGATTGTTTTGGCATCTTCGAGTGCCATCTGGTGGGGCAGCAGACGGCAGACTGTCGATTTGCAAGGCTTCGTATCATGTGACAGGCTGGAGTTGACCACACATGGTCGAAGTCGTCCAGGCCGTAAGTGAATGTCCGTGGCGGATTCCGATTGACAAGACCATCTTGCAGAAGCCTTCACAGGACCTGCTGGACTACGTCACATATGCGGGCGGTGTCGGTCGGCGGCGGGCCGATGCAGTCAGTGGTGTCGGTGCCTCCGCCCTCCTGATCCTGGCACCGCCGTGAAGACAGTTTGCATGCATGGAGCATGAACCACTCCGGTACTCCTTCTGTGTTTTATTTGCTCTACTTTGCTTTGCGGCTTGGGAGTCCTGCGCCTTGAGTAGAGAGCTGCGCAGCCTACACTCACGCATCCAACACACCCCACAGGCTCCAACAGCAGCATATCCCTCGAGATCCCCTGGCGTTACAGCACATGGGCAAGTCAGCTTTTGCACGAAGCCCGCAACGCGGGTGAACGTCTCCAAGCTCGCTGCCTGGACATGAGCCAGCAATGGCCCCCTGAAAGCCTGCGTGTCTCTCAGCTTTGAAGGTGTTTTATCCGGGTGCGATACAAGTGCACTGAGTACTAGCTGACAGGCCTGGTGGAGAAAAGCTAGCAGGCTTTGCGAAGGCCTTCAGGATTCGCTGCAACCTTTGAGACTGAGCTTAGATCCGGTCAGGAGCTGAAGACCAGAGACCGCGCTGAGTCTGCGTGCCCTGGCGGCAGCTGCCGACACGACTTGACTCTTGCAGGCTCGGGCGAAGTCTTTGTCTGTTGTCAGTTAATAAACGGAGCAAAATTTTCAGCAGACAAAGGACTGTAGACTTTGAGGAGTCGGGTTCAACAGGACACAGAGCCGAGACACCTTGTGCAAGCATCCAAGGTGCCAGCTAGCCTTGTACATTGATGTGCTGGCCCTCAGCCTTTGATCATAAGATTAGCTGCTGGAGCCTAATGGGCCGAGGTTCCTGGCGCAAGCAACGTTTTGGCACATGTCGTGGGGCAGGCCTGTGGGTTTCGGTCAGTCCAGCTTGGCCTTCGCTCGCGCTTGCTGGCCGCAGCAGGCCGATTCCGATGCCCTTCTGCTGGGAGCTTGGAACAAAATCACAGCAACCCTGAGCTTTGAGGGCTTGCGCACCCTTCTGTTTCGTGCTGTTTGCAGAGGCGCCCGCAGCCAGGCGAGTGCAAACTCCAGCCGCGAGCTCGGGTGCTGCAGCTTCATCAGTGGAGCAGAAGCCAGCATCATCTCTGCATCTGAACATGCATCCATTGTTATTGCGAGGAGTCCTTTCTGTGAAATGCGCCAAGGCGTGCCTTCTTTGCTGGCCTAACTTGCGGACGATTTAGCGACCTGCTCAGCTTTTGGAAGTTCATTGCAGGAACAAGGGCTTTGTTCCTCGATTGGCTGACTTAGATGTACCCCACAAGCAAGATTTCGGAATTAGGGGACTCGCAAACAGCCCTGACGAGGATCGTGTAATTTTGATGGGTCAACGTCGAATTAACCTGGCACCTGTGTAGAGCAGTGAAATTCAAGGACGTCTGCGCATGGCAGTGACGGCATGAAGCTGCCTGTATGTCGTTAGGAGATCCCGTAGAATCCGCAGAAGACGAGTCAGCCCAGGCAAGATGCTGCAGCTGCAGTTTCGTGAGGATCTGCCAAAGGCCGCCCTCTTCCGATCGCCGTGATCGCAACCTGCTGACTTCTCTTCGCTCGGCTCCAGGCGAAGCTGCAGGTTTTCTTCCAGGCCAACCAACACCATTCAAAATGGCGTCCTGTTTACATGCGGCTTATCCTGTTTATGATTCTGAAGGACTGGCTGGATGGTATCACCAGCTCCGACTTCCAAGCGCTGGCCCACATCTCAAACATCAGCCTGAACGGCTGAAGCTGCCTGCAGCATCCTGCAGCTCTGAGTCTGAGGTTTCCCAGCTGCCAGAACCTTTACGTCAAGAGGAGCGATGTGTGATAGTGGTCGTGCCTCGTTGTCAAGATTTGCCAAGTAAGCCCTCACTCCCCCACCCCCTACCCTTGCCAANNCCCCCCCCCCCCCCCCCTCCGAACTCCGAACGGGCTTCTTGTGCACCGATATGCTGTGTGGCTGAACTCAACTCCACCAGAACAGTCTCCCGCGACGCTTCTCAGCAGGACGTTCTGAGCTTGCTATTTGCACCCGACGGCCGCCTGCTAAGATGTCAAGCGAGACTGCGAGACAAGACAAGAGCCCCGTGTGGCCGAGGTGAGAGCATTTCCATGGATCTCCCGAAGCGACTGCAAAGGAGGGGCTGGGCTCTTGCCTATGGCATAGGCTTAGGGGTTGGACACATTTGTCACATTTCCAGCAATCTCATCCTTCTCGGTGAGGACAAGAGTGAAGCTTCAGTCACCGGTGACCCTTCCGCACTAACAATTGCAGACTGCTTATCTTTTGCAGTTGATCAGCTATCCGGGTGCTGGATGTCAGGCAGCATGGCTGGCTTTGCAACGGGCCCGCTGCCTATATGGGATCCCCATGGATCCCCCGTCAGAAGCCGAGCACCCGCAAGCCCCAAAAGGCGCACCTTGACTGGCAAGATCCATGTCCAGAACTACAGGCCCGTTCCCTGCAGCTTCGCAACCTTTCAAGTTCCTCCGATCCGCGGGATCCAGGCAGACATCACGCGGCGCTTGCACAGCTCTCAGCCAGAGAACACAGGTGCATGCGACCAGAAACCAGGCCATACCAGGCCGAAGCGCTTCAAATCGGACGCTTTGGGTTTTTGATTAATGAATGTAGGATTCCATATCATCCATAATTAAGCCATTCCCAAATTCCAAGGCCAAAGTTGCTGTTCGAGCCCGAAGCGGATGCTCCGCGGCGTGGCCAGCCACCCTGAGTTCTCCAGAGTTGTGTTGTTCTCGGCGGGTCAGAACCTGACGTTGCGGTTGACGAGGCCGAACCTGGCGCGAATTTGCTGGCCGAACAGAGGGGAAGGCAAGGCGTTCATTTGCAAAGTAGAACGTGTCAGCCTCAACACGAACTACGCAGCCCTTGGGGACCGACCCTAAAATCCAAAAAACGAAGCTGGACGACTGCTCTAGAGCATATAAGATGCAGTTTCAGGAAGCGTCAACAGCATATACAATATCAAGGTCAGCGAGGGCATGTGGATAAGACCCGGCCTGCTGCTGTTCTGTGCATTCCACGACTTTTGGTCCTTCGCCCGGACTCCGTGCAACGAAATTTTACTCAGTTACAAGCAACAGACGTGAAGTTGGGGAGACAGGAACTCCGGAGGCAAGGAGTGCAGCATGGAGGGAGCCTTTGCACCAGGACGGCTACGAGCTTTTCGATATCCACCGAGGGCTCTTGGCCAAGCCGGTGCCTTAAGCCGGCTGAGGGAAGTGCAAGGACAGCGAACCTTCCGGAGCCTCCCCGTTTCGCCGGCCTGGCTAGGCTCGGAATGAGAAAGCCAGCCGAACCACCGGCCAAAGCCAGTGCAGAAGATGCCAAAGAGGCAAAGCACTGTCTCGAGACAGTTTACCTCCAGGAGCCGATAAGACAGCGCAATGTTTCCTAACCGCCGAACACTCTTCGCAGCAGGAGATAGCTCATCTTCGCCGGGCCCTGACAATTCACCTCCGCTCGGCGCAGACTCCACCCCTGGGTTGAGGTTCGGAGCTGGAGCAACTTCATTCAGCTAGCGAAAAGGCCAGACAGCAGCGATCGGAGTCGCAGCCTCGCCCAGAACGGGCCAAAACGCTCTCAGGCCCTTTCCAGGCGATGGAGATGGGTCTGCGTGCAGCTGCCCAGCCGGTTCTGATTTCAGTGACTGTTTTTTACTCAAGAGATTGACAGAAGACGCTCCTGTCAAGGTGGGAATCGTGATGGGGGTTCTGTTATGCAAGAGCGGACCTAAGTTCTCTGGCTCTCAGAAATCGGGTTCTGGCTGCGGTGGCAGGCTTCTATGGAGCATGACGGCGACTATCATAAAATGCAGGTTAACCTTGCCGCCGAAGTCATAATCTGAGCCTTTGGGAAGCTCCTGAAGTGCTGAGGATCGGCCTCTCGGCGCTTGCAGCTTTCAACCCAGAGCCCCCCGCTGTCTGCGGACTGGAGAGCGCTGAGCTTCCGAGCTAGGGCCGGAGACCTTTCAAGATGGCTGCAATGGAACAGGGAGGACTAATCTTATGGTCTTATGGTACTGTGACGGGCCATTTGAGATTTATTCATGTAGAATGTATACTCCATCCGATGCTGTGCATGACGTGATACTGTATCATCGATTGCAAGAGTAGCAAGCGGCTGTGACTGAATACCCGCGCGATGCTGGCCCGAGCAAAGGCTCCAAGCCGCTCGGACTTTGTCCATGTGTGCTTGCTTGAAAACGGAATCCTCGTTTTGCCGTGGTTCGATGCGTAAGTGGCTTGAAGATTCTGTATCATGCTTCTAGGTTCACACAGACACTCTCCTCAGCCTCCCCCACGACAGGATCCGTGAAAGCCGGTGCCCACGATTGCGCCTACAACTCAGCACCTTTGCTGCGCTGCCAATGTTGAAGCAGATCCGGTTCATTTGCATGCTTCCCATGATGCTCGCGCGCATCACAACGGTGGTCGCCCTGGCGGTGTGCAACATGGTGGGATGTGAATAGTGAGGCCGGACATGATGATCATCATTTGTATGGTCAAGACGATGCTGAAGTGGACCATGATGTTCGTCACAATCATCGCGCGTCTCATGATCACGGACAATACGATGGTGAGGATGGTGAGATTTGCTTATGGTTTGCGGATGCTTTCTGCAGCTTGAGCGCGGGAAGACGGAGTTGCCTTTCCCGCGACGCCTGAAATACTCCGTTGAGATCCGTTGAGGCCTTCGTCGCCGACGAGGCCAGCATCTAAAGATGTTCTTTGACAGGCTTCGTTCTTCAATGCAACATTTCGACCTTCGGCTGGCTCTACGGTGCCGTTGTATCGACGTATCGCAGCGTTTTTGTGCGTTCCTGAAGTTCTCGTGCGTGATGCAACCAAATGCAACCAAACTGGAGATGGCTTTGAGGCCGATCTAAACTTGCCCCGATGAAAACTTAGTATATACAGCGATTCTGCAGCCATCTTCCTTGAGAAGCCGGTGAGCTGTGCAGGACACTACGGACACACACGGGCCGAAGATTTCTCCACTCCAGGAGGGCTTTCGTTTGTTTGTGCTGACTATTCGCACATGTCATGCTGAACTGCTCGCCCGGTGCTCCAAGACCGGGAACCAAATTCAGGATATCGTTTTCGACGAGGTTCTCGACAGGCCGTTCGCAGAAAAGGTGGGCATGCAGCATATGCTCTGCTGTCAAAACGTTCGTTTCAGCCCAAGGCCCTCAGCACGTATGGAATTCAGATTTTGGAAGCCCAGCCACTTCCGATTTCTGCTGCTCATCCCCTGGACCTGTGGTAATTACTGTAGTTTTGAGGGAGAGGACGCAGCAAACTCCTCTTGCCGCAACTCTGCATTCCAAGCCAGAGTGGCTTCAGGCCTATATAAGTCATTGTTTCCTGTGCAGGGAATGTAGGGCAGAAAATCCACATCGTCGAAGATTCCACAGTGGAGTTAACTCGGCTTCAAGAGAGAACGGCCAACTGGACCTCGAAGCCCAGGAGTACGGAGTACGCTTACTCGAGCTGTCACACCGCGGCGAGCGGCTGATGGCAGAGTTGGCACAGCCCTTGGGTTCGCCGGAAAACTACTTGATTGAAGAGCCGTTCAGTTGCGTTTCTTAAGTAGCAGTGCTTCACTGATGCTGCGAGGAATTCCCTACGCTGTAAGTGTGATCTGAGCAGCTCGCCCTAATTGGCAACTGCCTCTGCACTGACAGGCCCAGAAGTACGACCAGGCAAGTCCGATGGTCAACTTACAGGTTAAGTTGACGCCAGTCAACTCGGCAAGCCTATATTCGGCAGAGCAGCAAAGCTGCGGAGTCGGAGGTCAACCGCCTGGTCGAGCATGATCCGCTTTGGCGGAGCAGGTGGCAGAGGTTTTTTGTTGTCACTACATTTGAACTGCGAGTGGCAACCGTGCGAGGCTGCTCCCCAGTTTGCTGCGGAAGGTCTGTGAAGGTCTGCGTCGAGTCAGCGTCTCAGCTTCATCCCAACGAAGCCAGACATCCGAAATACTGCCGCATCAAGCAGTCATGTCGAGAGATCGTACAACACACCGAAGCCGAAGGTGCAGCTGATCCTTGCCCGCGAGCTACAAGAGGCGCTCTAGTAGTCTAGTAGTCGTGCACACTCCTTCTGTTGTTGGCCTCGGGAAAGTTCACCACATTGGAACAGTGAGCTTGTTTCGATGAGGTGTGGAAGATGACGTCCTTCGCTCAGAGCAGCTCGCTGGCTCGTCGCAAGCAAGACCTGTCCTAGGATGAGCCTTGAAGTTGAGAGTTTCAGAGAGATTTGTATCGATTTCTGTTTGCCGGTGCCGCATGCATGCTTGGCGAATGTGTGTGTGTGAATCTGGCGAATCTGAGATTTCAGCCGCTTTTCTATCCCGCGGAGATCGAGACCTTGACGGAAGCTCGGGCCTCGATCCGGATCGGGCTTTCAATGTCTTCAGCTCTGACTGGGACGGTTGAAGTTTCTTTGAAGGCGTTGCCGGGAGGTTGGCTGGAGCCCAAGCTCTCGACTTGCTCTTGGGCAACTGCAACCGTCCCAGGTGTGGAAGAGCAAAGCTTGGACGCTTGGTCTTGCGTGGGCCAAGGTTGGACCTCGAGGACCTCTTCCTCACCGTGCATCTCTTGCTCAGGCGGAGCCACTCAAGGCTTGCGACGTGACGTGGCCGCGGGTTCTTCATTTCAGGTATCTGTCAGAGATGATGCGGCTGGCCGGCGTCAGCAACCCAATGGGCACTCTTTTCACGACGGGCACTGCTTGGCAGCACTCCTTGCGAGGATCTGGTGAAGGAAGTCCCAAACACGCGGGCGATGTCTCGGAGCCAGATCAGGCCTGGGCTTCCGCTTGTGGCTTTGAGCGTTGATGGAGGACATTGGGGGACGCCGAAGAAGGCGGCGGACCTTGACATGCAACTCCGGGGCAGCACAAAACTCTCAAAGATTCAGAACCTAGGGTCGGCGACTGTGCCTCGCTTGCCTAGTCTCCTCGCCGTCCCGCACCCCGCCCATAGAAGCATTCAGGGACGAAGTCAAGACAAAAGCCAGCCCTTTTTTCGTTGTTAGGCACGCGGATGCTGCATTTTGGCTCAGCTCGGGTAGTGGCTGCGGGACAGCTTGGCTTCCTCGAGTCAGAAGACTTCTAAGGACCGTCCATGGCGTAGAGCGCCGCGGTGCAGAATCCGCGTTGGGATGTCCAGCGCCTCCAGCGCCACCGCCGATGCCTTCGGTACCTACTACCAGTGCCGGTTGCAGGAGGTGACCTCGAAGTGTTTGGAGCAGAGCTTCCCCAGACTGACCTCCGCGCAGCAGAGCCTCGGATCGAAGCGGCGCCTGGCGGATCCGCCACCTCCAAGGCCGGAGCGGGCGAACCGAAAGCTCGTGAAGTCGCCCAGTGCGGCCGCGGATGTCCAGGAGGGTGCCATCAAGCACTGGCAGAGTGAAGTCTCGAGCCATTCAACGGGGGTGTCTTCAAAGATGAAGGACCGAATGGTCAAGAAGCTCGGCCAGGCTCGACGAGCCATCACTCCGCTGCCACCGATAGAGAAGGAGACCGAGGCTTCGATGAAGCCTGACTTCAGCCAGGAGCGCATGGTCCGGGTGCTCAAGGACTCGCGCTTCTTCATGGGCCTGGATGCGGTCGTTTTGGAGAGTTTACCTCGATTCTCAGAGTTCCTTACGCTGGACACTCAGACAGTGCTCTTCCGACAGGGGGACGCCGCAAAGGGATGTTACGTCATCGTGAGTGGGAAGGTGGGCTTCTATGTCGGCGGAAATTTGAAAAGCCCACGCTTGCCAGTGACGCCACCAAAGGAAATACCTCTAACTTCCGAGTCGCAGCGGCGCAAGCTGACTTTTGAGGGTTTCAGCACCTGCAGCCAGATGTCCGATCTGGGCACGTGCGTCAAGAAGAGTGGTGCTGGGGAGGTTTTTGGTGAGCTGGCCCTCATGGACGACTCACAACCACGAAGGGCCGCTGCACGGTGCCTGGATGAGTGCGAACTCTTGTTTGTTTCTGCTGCAGGCTTTGAGGAGGTGAAGCAGTATGTGAAGGAGCTTGAGAAGCAGAAGAGGGAGTTCCTCGAGCTGCTTATCTTTGGGAGGTTAGACCCCAGAGACATCACGGGTGCCTACGGACATCCCGCAAGCTGTTTCCACCAGCAGAAACATGTCAAAGGCAAAGCCTTACTGAGACAGGGTACAAACGAGCACCGCATAATTTTCATCGTTGTGAGTGGGGAGCTGGAGATGACCCGAGGGAAGTTCGGCAGTTCTGCGCGCGAGGTCTTGGATGTGCTCCAGACGGGGGACATGTGTGGCAGCCTGGGTTTCGCCCTGAAGCAGCCTTCCACCGTTCGCGTTGCCTCGGACGCCTGCGAAGTCCTTGCGGCGCGAGACGACGACTTACACCGGCTGCCGGAGTCGATCCTCCAGCGGATCATGGCAAGACTCTCAGCCGAGACTGCAGAGCGCCTACGCTACGGCTACGTCTCCAAGCCCATGGGCTGGCAATCCGTGCCAAAGCTCCAGAAGCGAACTAGGCAGGACTCCGAGCTCCTGCTGCTGAACTCGCGTGATCTGCAGACGCACTTGCTGGCAAGACTCTGGCAGAGCCAGAAGTAGTAGCTGCAGTTCTCTCCGTGCCGGTTGCACGCAGGATGCTACCGCAGACGCATTCTCGGCTGAGCGCGTGTAGCATGTAGCTCGCAAACTTACAGAAGCACCCAAGGTCTATCGGGTAGCCAGTTTATTTTGCCCACCGTGACGCTCGAGCTTGCTGCCGGCGATGTTCACAGTGTAGATCTGCTTGCAAGAGTGAGGATAGATAGGGTTAGCTTGAATGTCTGGCAGCATCGCAGGAGATTTTGATAAGTGAAGCTGCCAAGCAGCATCACGTCGCAGAGAACTTGACACAGACAGTTATGTGATCCGAATCGTTGATGCATCCCAACGGCCATCGCTTCCGAAGGAAGTCGACGTCCCACGTTGATCCTGCAGCAGCATGAGATATAGAGCCCGAAGGCGTGCAACCTGCAAAACAGGGGCCGAGGGCGGTCCTGCCGACATCTGAAATCCACCAGCAGCAACGAGCAAAGCCGCAGACTGAACCTGCCAGGGACGCCGCGAATCGTCCAGAAGTCCAGCGGCTCGTCCGACACGCAGCGAGCAAGCTGTAAGCGCCCTACGCCGGGGTTCCTTGCGGGTCAGACATTTTTGCCCGCAGTTTCCGTCCACGCTACTTGTGGTCCAGCATCAGAGGCCCTTTTTGGGCATTGCCTTTGGTGACCGCGAGGGACCAGGCCACCATATCGTAGTGAAATCCTTCAGCTAGCCAGTCTCAGATATTTATAACAAGCTGTCCACGCGCACCTTCCTTTTGGCCCTAGGCATCGCAGCAACCCAACCCGCTCAGACTTTTTCTGACCTTGTTGCTTCGCGTGCCGTCCGCCTTGCTGCTGTTGCTTGGAATGCTGCAGTCGGTGCCGGGCTCCCAAGTCAGAGCCTAGGCCCTAGGCGCCGCGGTGAATGTATGGACCAGGCGAGCATCTGGGCCCAGCAGAGGCGGCGGAGTCACCCTTGAGTGAGGCCAGTGTGAGGCCTGGCCTGGAGTGTACTGACTGCTACCTGGTTTCACACAAGGCTCTGGCAATACTGAACGAGGTCCTTATGGCCCCTTGGACGAAACTCTTGCCTGCGGCCATGCCTGCTGCAGGGACAGCCATACCTCAAACGAAGCTGCCAAGCAGCACAATTTGTGAGGTCGAGATGCAGGACTTGCTCTCTGACCTTCACAGATCCACCTACAGGGCATTCATTCGTGTCGTCGCAGCGTGCGGAGCTTAGAATGCCGTGTAGACAACATGTCTCCATGTCTCGACATGTCTCTCGAGGTATGCGAGATGGAAGAAGACCTGTAAAGAGGCGAGAAAAGCGAAAGCCGCGGAGGTCAAGGCTTGGATCAGAGGTTTCTGACTTTTCCAGCGAAGTGGCAGAGATCATTGGCACAGGCTGCGATAGACAAGCAGAATGCGGCCGCCCGCAAGGCGATTTGCCAGATTCTGCGGCAGATTGCATTGAGTAGCACCGACGGCATCCCGTCAGATGAGAAGTCTTCGGAGCGTTGTGAATATGGAAGATGACGTCACGTCCTGGGATCAGCAGAAGAGTCGTACATGCCAGGCAAAGTTCCCTTTCAACTTCAACGCAGCAGACATTCAAGAATTCAAGAGTCTGTCACATGCATGTTTCTTATTTGGACTCAGGATGACGATGGTGGTTCGGAAGAAGACTCCCACGCAGCTGCCTCTTCAAGCGGTCACTTGGCGAGAGCTTTGTGTGAAGTGACCCGAACCCTTGGGGCATGCTTGGCTTGGCCGCACAGCTCCATGTCGGCAAAGACGAAGCACTGAGGCCGGAAAGTTCAAGTTCCGAAAGCACCTCCTGCTCAGAGGACAGTGTGATCCGAAGTCGTGGAAGTGCAATCCTGCACCTAATCGTCACCTAATTATGCTGTGAAGGGCCTAGTGTACCACTGCCCAGGAAGGCAAAATGGCCTGTCCACATGTCATCTGCTTTTCCCTAGCTGTTTGTGCAGGTAGTTGCGTCCTCGCCCACGTGAGATGTCGTGGGTTATCCTTCCAAAGAGTGCTCGGATCTTTCCATACCACTTCCGTCCGACTGCATGGCTGAGCGCACGTGGATCACGAGCAGTGCACACGGCTGCAACTGCAGGCTACGACGGTGAAGCTGTGGACGGCGGGAAGAGCAAGGCGAAGTTCTACGATCAGCGTCGGCCAGGGTACGACGCAGCTGTGATCGAAGAACTGGTGCAACAACTCTACTTGGCACGCGCCCGTGTGGCGGCTTCGTCGCCAGCCGCCGTCATTGAACTCGGGGCTGGCACGGGGAAGTTTGCCCAACCCCTTGCTCAGAGGATCCTACAGGAAGACACCGGCCTCTCTTTGGTGGCTTCCGAACCTGTGGCAGGAATGCGCGAAGTCCTCAAGGGCAAGCTTCCAGCGTCCCCACGGGTGATCGTCTCGCCCGGCTCAGCAACTGACCTGCATGAAGCCCAAGAAGCTGCAGGTGCAGATGCCGCTCCTTCAGCTCCTTTCCCAGTCTGTGGAGTCGTGGCAGCACAAGCCTTCCACTGGTTTGCAAACGATGCTACTCTCCGCGAGCTGTCGAGAGTTGTGTCTCCGGGCGGCATACTGGCCTTCGTGTGGAATAATCGTGACACAAGGCTTAAGTGGGTGCGAGAATTTGAAGAGGTCGTCAAACCACTGTACCCACCAGAAGTTCCACGCCAGCAGTATGGAGAGTTCATGCAACCCCTCATCGGTGAAGCACCGGGTGCCAAAGATTTTGCACCCATGGGAGTGTTTTGCTCCTCCACTGAGCAGCGGGGTGACATAGAAATGGTGGTTGGTCGTGTCCTGAGTTTGTCGGTCGTGGCAAATCTCCCGGCTGCTGAACAGGATGCAATCGCCGAAAGATGCCGCGCGGTCGTGCGTGCGAATCTACCAGATGTAGAGAACATCACCCTTCCGTACCTGACACATGCCTTCTTCTTTGTAAAGAGGCCTGCACCAGTCAGCACGCAGCAAGCGCGTGCTGCATTCGCCGAGGAGGAGCAGTGGAAGCTTCTGGGGAAACGTTCGGCAACAGCAAACGCAGGTTGGAGGGCCATTCCTTACGCGAGCAGCGCGAAGTCTCCAGAAGGTCTGATTTGGCGCGCACTGGGACTTTGAGGACGAGCCTCATCGGCACGCGATTTCCTCACCTCTTTTGACGGTTTGTGGTCGGACTGAGCCTCCGCAAATCGCAGCCCATGTCCCGGCACATCACCGCACAGGGCTGAGCTATGCCGTCGGACCAAGTGAGCTTTTGCGGGAAGAGCACAAAGGTGCCGCAAAGACCAGCAGGAAGAGTACCGCAGAGCCCATGGCAAGTAGTATATATTATTTGATATTATTTATTAGATATTATATATATATATATCATATATTAGATGTTAGATATTATATATCACATATTAGTTGTTAGATATTATATACCATATATTATATAATGCTCAATACCTGCATGGCAGGACCGAGCCTGCCAGAGCCGAGTCGGAGCTTGGCTCTCAGCTTTTGGCCCTGACCCAAAGCACTCCAAAGCATGGCTCGGTCCTTCTGCCGTTCCTAGGGCCGGTCGCATGGGGCGACGGCGAGGATCCGTCTACACAAAGCCGGGCTCCCAGAGACCGATGCTGGAGACCTACTGACCTTTGCTTCTCGTCATCTCCGTGCAATCCTGTGCCATGTCATCTGCGATTCCAGGACTACGCAGAGCTCTGTCGTGAGCTTGAATGATCCCCACGACAATGTCCGAACTTGCGAAGACCCGGCCGAGGAAAGCCACAGTGGCCACGGTGCGTCGGAAGGGAAAGGAGGATCCAAGGAAGCAGGCAAGGCCAAAGCAGCGTCTGCGAATGACAAAGCCCGTCAAACACCGGGAGGCCATGTCGTGCCTGCTCCGGCTGCACCAACTGCTGAGAGGACGGACCAAGTAAGCAGACGTGCTAGAGAAGCAAACTGCCAAGCATGTTGTTCAAGACACTCTTTGGAGGATAGAAAGTCACAAGGAGCGAGAGCTTGGAACTCGGAAGCCTTCGAAACTGCTGGCGGAAGCTCATGCGGCTTGCATTCGCAGGGTGAAGCCACCGGAGGGAGCACCGGTTGGCCGTCGACGTGGCAGTGTCTACGTCCAGCCGGCATCTTACCGCCGAAGTCGTAACTTCCTGTGAGTGGATCACGGAAAGCAGTAAGCGAAATCCTGACCTTGAGGCCTACGCAGCCCGGTAGCTCTGCCGGCTGCTTAGCTCGAGGGGACGCCTCGATCTCTTCTTTGAGCCTGGAGGTAATATGGTAGGGATGTGAAAAGCGAGTGACACTTCGAGATGCTTCGAGGGTTTTTGCTTTGGTCCTTGCGGGTGTGCCGCGAGGCGCAGGGCAGCTATGTAGAGAAGTTCGCATCACCTTGACCACGAGACGTGAAAGTGAAGCAGTTTGTCCAAGCAAGGGGCTGCCATGGGCCACCATTACAAACCTCTCGCCTTGTAAGGCACGATGAAGAAAGCATAGCCCCAAAAGAACCTGCAGGTTGTGTGTGTGTGTGTGCATGATCTGCAACAGAAAGACCACAGCACCAAAAGCAGGCGCCCTGAAAATGTTGCTTGACGCGTCATGAGATCTGGGAGACTGGCCACGGGCAGGTGAAGAAGAAGGGAGGTAACCATTGAGAGCAGAAGAAGACTCGGAATAAATTTGCCATGTTTGAGAAGTCAGGATCTGAACAAGCTGGACTGATGGACCAAGGGCAAAGTCTCTGACACTGTACATACTCGTCTGGGATTCTACTGCATTTGTGAAGTGATTATATGAGCAAAGGAGATTCGTGCTGGTGCAAACAGATGCTTCATAGTTCTCGTACTTCATGTTGCTTCATTACTATCCTCACAGATGGCAGTTTGCAAGGCACAGGTAGTCGGAGCTGCTGAAAGTCTGGCAAGCACCGGAGACACTGCTGCTGCGCAGAAAGCTGAATCGGAGTGCGGTGAGTGCCCATCGCCAGATTCGTCGAGTGCAACGCGATGAGGGTGTGTGTGCTGCCATTTGCTCGAGCCCTGCAAACGTGCAAGGAGCGGTTTGTTTAGTTCCAGTTCCAAAACATAGAGTTCGTCAAAGTGTGCCAGCCCACGTCCAGACTCTGAGGATTTCAATTTGAGACTGCGGTCACGCTGTGGTTTTCCGGTCCATGATTGGTTCCTGCCATGTGGCACGCCAGTTTTTGGTGCTTTCTGATTCTGGTTGCGGAAGCCCAAGATCCAGAGAAGCTGCTTCCCGACTATGACTGCATACGGCCCAGCAGGGAGGCCCCGCTACTTGACTGGGCGGAGTGGTTGCAGGCTCTGCAAAGGCCACGAGGTGAAGGATGGCTCGCTGTCTCAAGCCTTCCTCTGTCCCTCTTAACTGATGAGAGCAACCGACAGCGTGCAATAAAGGAATGTCCCCTTGGACTCTTGATGGCGGACATCCTTCAGATGCTTGCATGTTTCGACAAGCTCCATGCCTGCTCTGACACATTTGAGCGTTTGGTCCGGGATGGCATGGCCTTCTTCGGTCTCCGAGTGCTCATGGGCACGCGCTGGCCAATTTACGAGTCTTTGCACTCTGACGTTTGGGATAGGCTGGCAGAGGAAAGCAGAGGGAAGACAGACTTGGCTTGCGAGGACCCTGAGAAGCGCATCTTGAACTGGGGTGCATTTAAGCGACTGTTCACCATGCAAGACTGGTATCAGCCGGCCGTGGATGTCGCATACGGGCCGGAGTTGGAGAAGATGTGGAGGGAAGCTGCTTTGGAGTGTCCTCTGGGTTTTGCAACCGCGAATCTTATCAAGGCGATGCTGTGCTCACACACGGAGTCCATCTGCTTCCGGGCCCACGAGACCATGTTAGGCGCAGTTCTACAAGACATCCCACTGCAGCGAGTGGCTGCGAGCGGATGGCCACTCTTGCATCTCTTGGGCTGCTTCCTCTGCACAGAGTAGCGGGCCGCTGGAGGTTCCGGGGGTCTTTGTTGAGATGGGTTCGTGGCTTCGTTCACAGACCAACTCACACAAACAAGAGTCATGCACGCAGCAATCTGACTGAGGCCATGTGTCTCGAGTCGTGAGGCCAGCCAGTACATGGTTGCTGTGTGCACCGCAACATAGCAGTCAAGTTGGTTGTCATCTGTTGTTCGCCTGCCGCCTGACTGGGCTGCTGGCACTGATGGTTATGATGATTATTGACTGATACGGAACTTATACATCTGCCTTGGTGTCGCTCTTCGTAGCGGTCGGCCGTGCTACTGGCACAGGCGGCACAGATTTCAACTGGACTTCGCGCCGAACGAGTTACTCTCGAGGCATTGAGTTCCGTCTGCAGACTTTCGGCTTTTGCGGTCCCTCTGCGAACACGAGGCCCGGCCCAACATCCCCAGGCAAAGACCAAGAGGCCTCTCGGCCAAGCGGACCTGACGGCTCCTCCGTGATTTTAGTACGCCTTTGCCAGGCGGATGCCTCGTTGTCGATGCCCAGTCCTTGGCACGTGCTGAACTCCGTGCCAAGTGCATCCAAGCGTCTCGAGCGCCAAGGCAAGACCTTCAGGCTCTCAGGGGCATGGCGTCGTCAATGCAGCAAAAGTCCTCAAAAAGCTGGCTCACGTGGCAAGGCCCTCCTGCCTAGGCTTCGCGATTCTGCAGACGACACTGCCTTGATCTCGGATCGAGGATGTGCTCAAGGGGCAAAAGCGTCCCTCAAAGTTTTATCCGAGGCTGCCAGATTTGGCTACAAGACTAGCATACGGCCAGGGCCTCAAAAACCCGTCATATCTCTTTGGACAAAGTCTAGCTTGCTGCAAAGCTCTGGAAGCTTCAGAACAATCACTGCCCTGAGAGTTTGAGGAACGGAAACCCTATCCGACTCGTAGGTCTAACCACCCCAATTGAAGATTCCGAAGGAGCTTTGGATGAATCGATCCCATGCCTTATTAAGGCTGCGCCTAATCTATGCCTCCGCCCCAGAAGATGGGACCTGCGTGGTCGCGGTGCTGTTGAAGACCCGAGAACGGTTTAACATTTCTGGCGGTGCTCTCTCTGGCTGGGGAATGATATCATCGGAGTCATCGGAGTGTGAGAACCGCTGAGGCGACCATGGCCCATGGGCCACGTTTCAGTCCGTACGTCAGCCGCTTCATCGGTCCGCCCCTGAGCATCCCGAGAAGGTAACAGACGAGATGTGCGAAGGCTCGGCTTATGGTGGCTTCCAAGCCTGCAAAGGTCGGGCGACAGCCGTTGGGATCGGGGCCGAGCTGGTGGTGTTCTGTCTGGACGACGAGGCCAAGCGACATTCCCTGTGTGATCGGCCGTCGAAGCACCCGTGCATGGCAAAGGCATTGGCTGAATGCCGAAATGTGAAGGGTAACTGCGTTCGCGGAACGCCTTCGCCCAGAGCTCATCTGTGCTCAGACTCGTGATCAGTACGGCGTGCCAGCAACAACCTTGACAGTCGCACCAGGATACTGAACAAGTTCACCTTGCCTTTGGTCGACAGCTCAGATTTGCACCCGCAATTTGAGCAAATTTTCTGGTCTGCAGAATTGTCTCAGGTGTTGTTGCAACACGACTTTGATGTCATGTGGCTAGGGTCTCAGTCGCCTGAGCCTCTTCTGCCAGACTTTCCGTTTGAATTAAGCTAGGTTGGATCTGGACGTTTTCCTGTTCCAGTCACCGACGCTGCCTTTAATCCGGCAACTGCGGGAGAACAGTGAGCTTGAGTTGCTGATCTCCGGCTCGTTTGCTGTGGATTGCATTTGCAGCCTGGCATGCACATAGAAGTTCACACAGTCGGCAAAGTCATGAGGAAAGTACCTGCCTCGCGATGTGAGCAGCCTTGGTACTTCAATCCCAGTATATGCGCATGCACGGTTTCGAAAAGTATTAATTAAGTTGCAGATGCATTCTGCTGACTGCGGAAGTTTGTGCGGTATGCCAGTTCGATCAAGACAGTTCCCGTCACATGCATGCAATGCAAGGTAGTGGTCGCTTGACTGCAAGTTCTTTGTCTGACGGCCACGGGCGGCTGACGCAGTATCGGTCGAGAAGCAAGCCCGACACCGGAAAGCTCAAATAAGAGATTTCACAGCTTCGTTTGGCAAAGCAACGGGCACGAGTGAATCGTGCAAGGTATTGTTCTGTTCCGTGCAGTGGAGTCCGTACGATCCTGGAAGCTAGTCTGCAAACAGTGGCCGCGCCTGGGGGCCTTGCTGCAGCATGCCAAAGACATGGTGCAAATCACCAAGGTTAGCACTTCTGCTGGTATGCAGCTGAGTATCTTCGTTTTAGTACCACGAGCTCTGACGCTGGTGGCTTGGAGGTCTGGATGTACGAGCATCCTTATGAGCATGACCAGAAAGCTTTCAGTGCCTTTTTGCGCGCTGGGGAGAGAGTGGCGTCCACGCCCTACTAGTGTACTGGACTGGTGGATACTGATGCGGCCACGCAGTGACTGCGCAAGACGCTTGAAACACTGAGGTTCGAAAGCGAGTTGCCTGTTGCCCCAGAGCACCCGCCTTGACAAGACTTTGCTGCATGTTGGAGCACGAACCCGGTGCTACTGCAGAGCAGGGCATACTCTTAGAATCTCCCAGATAAGGCGAGTGCCCAAATGGGACTTCCTCGACCCGGAGACAGAGTTTGTCTCCGCTCGACACGTGGACGTCGCTGGCTGGACAGGCCCTTGGGGCAAGCTGCACGTGTCGAGCTGGCATGCACTGGCAATCACTGGCATGTCAAGAACTTCTTTTTCGAGTGCGTTTACAAAGCCCCCGGTCTTGGCACAGGCGATGCAGACAAGATCATTGCTTTCCACCTTCTCCATGGAGACGCTTGCCGAAGCCAAGCTATGCTGAGAAGATGCGACGGCGCGACGGCTTGCCCCGATTACTTGGAGACTCCATGCCTTCCGACTCAGGACAGCGATGATGCGGATGCTAGTCGACAGCCCGGGACCTGGCTTACCTCGGGGCAGCCGCTGGCATACGGAGTTGGCACCACAAAAAGAGGCTACCAACATTTCAGGAGCATACTTCGGGCTATTTACGTGTTTTCCCGAGTCTTTTCTGCATCCGTGTGTAAGTGCCTTCTCAAGCCTCTCGACGCCTTTCTCCGTTTGCCGGTGATTTTGTCCGCGCGGGCTCTGCAAATCAACTTTCACGGCTGGGCGTCGTCGATGTTTTTGCTCCGGGGCAGATGCTCTCATTCACCGCGCAGCCGGCACAGTTCATGACGACGAGAAGCGTCTTCAGAAGCCAGTTCCTCTTGTTTCGGCAACCGGGAAACGGAAAGATTTGTTTCGGGGGTCAACTTGCCGACAGCAGACGCAAACAAACAGCCTCCTCAAGACTTGAGCTTGTACTTCCGTGCTCTCACAAAAAACAGGAATAATGACCACAGCTCAGCTGGTCTATATCTAGCAGATCTAGGAGGCAGCCTACCAGAGAGATGAAGCACTAAATTTGAAGGACAGGCGAATGACATGTTGTGCACTCAGCGTCCGAACTGAAATGAGGTTTGCAGCTCGGCACGGCCTCGGCATAGGCTATGAGCCTCTGCTGGCAGCCGCCCCAGTTCTGCACTCCTGCGAGGTTCGTGTGCCATTTTCATCTGACTGGCATTGCAGGATCTTTTTTTCAATCGCACCGACTTTCCGGAGCAGTGAGCTCGGATCCTGCCTTTGCATGTCGGTGCGCCGCTGATCGTATATTCGCTCTGGGGCACAGTGGTTGGACTAATACCGGTTCTGCGGTTGGCGGTTAGCTCCGAGCGTCATCCAGGAGTATGCGTGCACACACGACCGAACGGAATAGACGAATAGATTACTCCGTCTAAGCGGGGCCCGCAAGGATCAAAAGCTCGCAGGCGACTAAAGGTAGCGTGACCCATCTTGTCGATTTCTGGCTAAAGCCAGTTCGAGCTATTCCGATGCCGACATCATGGAATGGCGATTCAAAACAAACCTGACCCCTCGCACACTGCAACGGTCGAATCCAAACGAGGAACTCATGTCTGTCTCCACCATTTCGGGCTGCAATCAACAAGTGCAACCATCGATACTGTAGAAGCAGAGGAGAAGTAGCAGCCAACAGCTATCAAGAGTCTTGGTCATTCCAGGTTGTACAAGACGCCAGTTCTGCCGCATCGCTTATCGTCTGAGCTGCGAGATGCGCTCTGGAGGCCACTTGCCATGCAAACCTTTCTACACTTCAGCCGGCCCTGGAAAAAGGTCGAGGTGGCCGACTCCCAGGCCAAAGTCGCCTGCAAGGCCAGGCCCTGCAGCTAAGAGAGACAGCCTGTGCTGATGTTTTCCTCTTCTCAGGTGCAACGAGACTGTTCCCATGAGATTCTGAGCTGTGCGGTTGGGCGAGAAAGAAAAGGGATTCAGAAAGACTGAGACTTGGGAAGCAGCGGCTTTGCGGAACTAGACGGATGCCGGACAATCTCAGAAAATATAGCATAAACAAGGCCCCTGTTTGTTTGCAGCCGTGCGGCCATTTGACATGACAAGAATTACCAGTACTACTCTGCTAGTACAATATGGGAAGCCGACAAGCAGAGGTATTTCGCTGATTTGCGGGTAAGCCTTGCATAATTTAGAAGGTATTTTGTTTTATAGAATCTTATGGGATTTATCATTCAGGAATAAAAGAAAGAAAAAGGATTTCATATAAGAAATTGAGCCGAGGAATGTAATAGTTCTCTAATTCTAGATGAATAATTTCATTCGTATCGATCTAAAATTTCAATCTATATATTGGTTGAATTGATCTGAATTTGATCGTATAATAGTATATCTCGATTAATAGATATATTGGTTAGTTTTATATAATAATGCATAATAAGAAATATCAATATATTAATTAATTAATAATTTGAATCTATAAAAATCCCAAATAAAATCTTATTTTACTTTGACAAAATTATAAAAAAAAATATTCAAATTTAGAATGAAATATTGATTTTATATTCGATCTTATTATATAAATCTATGATTTCGGTTTTATAAGAAGTAGTTAGGCTAGAAGAGTCTTTAAATAGATATTCTGTAATATAAATATTAAAGAAATGATCGGTTTTTCTAAAAGATTATTCTTTTTCAAATTTACCTCTAGAAAGGATTTAATAATAAATATATGATGAAAATCTCATTCAAATTTAATGATAAATGTCATAAGATTCTTCTCTATAAATTAATTGAATTTCTAAAAAATTCTTTAAAATAATAGATTTTATAAAAAAAAATAATAAGAAGATTATTATATATATATATATAATTTAAAAATCTAAGATTTCTTTAATTATTGAAATTTTAATATTTATACATTTGATTTTTTTTTTTTTTTTTT